CTCACTCCCACCCTTCCACTCACCCCACAGACCCACCCACTCACTCACCCACCCACTCACTCACTCACTCGTTTCACAGAGAGACGACAGTCAAAGCGCCCGATGTTCCACCGTGTGAACAAATGCGTCGTGTCAAATTTTCAACCACGGATATTTCGTGCAGCACGTGCACTACAATCATACTCACTTGTCGACCATAGATGGCCTTGACATTTAAATGACCTGAGCAGTAAATTTGTAAGAATAATTTTAGAGGTTAAATATTTATAAATATAATTTCCTAAAAATGAATCAATATCGAATGCATTTTTACAACCTCTAAAACTATTCTTAACAATTTACTGTTCCGTACACCATCCAAAATAAAGGATTAATGCAAAGTTCATAATTGGCGCCCATTAGCAAACCGTCAAAATCTTACAGTATATTATATTTTCCACCAATCGGATGGCCCAATTTCGTTTCTGCGGATCTGCTCAGATCACTTGAATGTCAAGGCCATCTATGGCCGACAAGTGAGTATGATTGCCGATGGTTTTGGAGAAAATGCCTGCTTACTGTCGAGGAAATGATTTGTAGATGTTGTAAGATGTTTTTAGACCCGTGGAATGCCTCTGCCGATCGAATCTAACCCTACATAGGTGCTGTCAACGTGGCTGGAATTAATAAACGAATTTAAAAGGTGAGTTTTCGCTGTCTTGGGTGATCCATGATTTTGGCTTGGAATTGCGGAGGTAGCTGTTTTCGGTGAGTCGTGGCGTATAACTTTTGAAATGTAGATCCGATTGTGACCATTTATAACTCATTTTGTAGGGAAATCATCTCGCTTTTAATCCGTAGGCTTCGACGGGGCCTTAAAAATAGTTTACGTGGTGAAATCTAACTTAGATTGAGGAGGGGGCGGATCCGTCGTTACATCCCTTTCCTTTTATATAGTACTTGGGTAGGGTCTATATGCCTATATGTCTTTCTAACGCTGTTTCTACGCGTGACACGCCCATGTGGACATACACAAATATGACCTAGGCTTGATGGGGAAGGCTCCCACAACTTAAAACTGTCCGAACACCAATGAACAGTCATGAATATGACGCGCCTTGTACAATTCAGAGCATTCTCCATTGTACCTCGTTGTGAAATGTAACCACCAAAGTATCATGGATGGACTGCTGAAATGTTGCTCGACACAAATGGGGGGCTGACAACTGGAAAGATGGTACCATCTCTCTTAGAAACAAGTGCTATTATCAACAGCATGAAATATTAAAAACACAAAAATGTATCATCTAAGTATATCTGCGTGTTTATTTCTGCTCAAATGGATACAGTGAAGGCAAATGAAGTTAAGATTATGAACTTAGACGGAAATCAAAACATCTATAGACATGATATCACAACATTTATTTCGAGTTGTCAAAGGATGTGAAATTAAGGGGTTCTTATAGAAATACTACTCACAGCCATTTCGATAACCAACTTACTTTCAGAATCGTTTTCAAGGCTGTGGCTGTTGTGAGTGAGTGAGTATGGTTTTACGCCGTTTTTAGCAATATTCCAGCAATATCACGGCGGGGACATCAGAAATGGGCTTCACACATTGTACCCATAGTTGGAATCGAACCTAGGTCTTCGGCGTGACGAACGAACACTTTAACCACTAGGCTACCCAGCGTCACCTGGCTGTTAGGAACAAATATGCGCGCCGTCACGTTGCCATATGATTTAACAAGTGACCAGTCCTGACCCCCCGCCCAGTTCAGTCGCTTCGTGCGATATATACAGTTTACCGGGATCATTTCCACAAGGATCCACACTGTCGGCGCATGGATACAGCTCATTGTCAAGGCAACCCGTTACGATCCGGGCTAGAATTGATATTCATTAACCATGCTTGTCGTAAGAGGCGACTAACGCGATCGGGTGGTCAGGCTTGCTGACTTGGTCGATGCTCATGATGTTGATCACTGGCTTGTCTGGTCCAGACTCGATTATTTTCAGACCGCCCCCATATAGCTGAAATATTGCTGAGTTAGTCGTAAAACTAAAACTCACTCACCCATTGCCAAGGTACCGCTGTACATATGTACAGAACTTTGTTGTACCATAGACCTATAGGCCACAAGTAAAAATTCGCCATATAGCTGGAATATTGCTGAGTTAGTCGTAAAACTAAAACTCACTCACTCATTGCCAAGGTACCGCTGTACATATGTACAGAACTTTGTTGTACTATAGACCTATAGGCCACAAGTAAAAATACACCTGTCTGTCTGTCAAATACTTTATAGCAACATCACTAGCTCTTTTCATGTCATCGTATCCCAATTGCCTAGATCAGTGCCTTTGATCACTGGATTGTCTGGTCCAGACTCGATTATTTACCGACCGCCGCCATATAGCTGGAATATAGCTGAGTTAGTCGTAAAACTAAAACTCACTCACTCATTGCCAAGGTACCGCTGTACATATGTACAGAATCTTTGTTGTACCATAGACCTATAGGCCACAAGTAAAAATACACCTGTCTGTCTGTCAAATACTTTATAGCAACATCACTAGCTCTTCTCATGTCATCGTATCCCAATTGCGTAGATCAGTGCCTTTGATCACTGGATTGTCTGGTCCAGACTCGATTATTTACAGACCGCCGCCATATAGCTGGAATATTGCTGAGTGCGGCGTAAAACCCAATCACTCATTGATGATAGTCCCTAAAGCGTGCGTACAATATCTTCAAACCTTGTCTTGTATGAAGTGCCTGAGAGCAGAACGTACCCTTTCACTGTTGTAGCGAGGCATCCCATAGAGGTGCCGGAATCAAGTCGTTTGTGTTTCACAGATGGACTCGAAAAATGTACATTTCACGTTCATCCTTCTGGCCTTTCCACTTTGACCATGCTTCTCAGTGCCACCAAATTAATTTCATTAGACTGTAAACATCATCTACTCGAAAAACCCGTGGGGAAAAAAATCACAAAAGGATTCACATGAATTTGTCCCAAAAGTCAGATTTTCACATTGCCTCTATGCAACCACAGTGAGAAACCGTCTTATATCATAACCCTATTTTATCTCTTTGTTTATAGCACAGACATCACCTTTCAATATTTCTCACCTCAGATCATCCGCATTGTGTACTTAAGAGACTTCTCCACCCTCACGTAACCACAACACTTTCCAGTCAACTGTAAAATCAGTTCCTCGTTCTGGCATATGTATGCATCTCAACAATACCCTGGATACTTGCGTAATAACGGTGTTACAAACTCCACCAAACGTCGAGCTAAAAAGTTTAGACTCACTTCAAACACTCACTATATCTTATGTATATATACTGTAAATCATGAAATTAATGCGAAAAATGCGTCTGTACTCTTCTCGCATTATTATAATGACGCATTTCAGTCTGACAATGTTAACTTTTCAGAACTTGATAAAAGACAGAAAACGTAAATCTGTTGAAACTACACATTACACCAATACAGGTCACTTCCTCATTACAGGTATCTCAAGCCACATGTAATTATCACTGGTTACAAGCGCTGGTCATTGTTTAAAGTCACTCAAGCATATCAGCAATACCGGACATTTTCGAGCCACTTGTTTGTTGTATTTGGGTAGATGACTTTCGAGTCGGATTACGTTTATAAATGTTGTCATAAGACAAGTAGTGGCAAGCAATCACGTGATCAAACATGGCAGCGTAATCAAAATATCGTCAGCTCATTTCCATTCATTGCTTAGCAAGCTCAATTCATTTGGTAAATAAAAAGTGTGAAAAGAAAAGAACACCAAAGATTCAGGGTGTCACATTTTATCATTAACGCAGATTCCTGGGCTCGCATTAATTTCGTGACGCATTTTAGACTAGACCCCCGCATTCGCATTAAATTAGTATATGGTTACATCGAAGGTTGATTTCTCCACTAACTCAGGGGAACCAACTGCAAACCCTATGATGAATTGCACGAGGATCATGCATCAAATTGCTTAAAAGCATGTACAAATGTCGTACGTGTGAACAGCTGTGCTTTAGTGTAAAGTTTTGTTAAGAATTCGCCAATTTTCACTGATTTTTATCATTTATTGAATTCACGACAATAACCTTTTCAACTTTGCGAATTTGTTTTACAATACATCAGTTCATGTGTAAACATTACCTTTTAAACAGTATGGAATATTTTGCAAAATTTAATTTAGAACAGTTGCCCGAAGTAAGTGGCTATATTTACTCTAGAGAGTCTAAACTTTTGATGGGAAGTATATTTTACCCTTAGTCAATACGCTATATTAAGAAGCACTCTCAATGGACCTGGTTAGAATTGATCATCAGCAGACCATCAGATCGGGTGGTCAGGGCCCCGTTCCTCAAAGCGATCGTAGCGCTACGACAGTCGTAACTCCCATACTTTAACATAGACTTACGACTGTTGTAGCGCTACGATCGCTTAGAGGAAAGGTGGTCAGGTTCGTTGACTTTTGGTCATTGTATTCCAGATGCTCCAGATTCCAGATCGATATTCATCATGCCGGTCACTCGATCGTCTGGTCCATACTCGATTATTTACAGACAACCGTCATATAAAGTGCAAATACAGTGGAGTGTTTCAGACTATGTGTAGGAGTGTCGACGTCACAACCTGGTAAGTATAGTGTCATGGTACCAGTGGCCCCTCTACAACTTTTTTCCACAAATACGCATTGATAACTTCGTACAACAGGTCAACGAAGCAGGTGACTGAGTGAGTTTAGTTTTAGCAATATTCCAACAATAACTTCTGGAACACGAGAAATCGGCTTCACACATTGTACCCACGCGGGGAATCGAACCCGGGTTTTCAGTGTGACGAGCGAACGCTTTAACCACCTGGATACCCCCCATCCCATCCCACCCAACCCCAAACCCCTGAAGCAGGACCTAGCGATTGACATCTGTGCGCATTGTTCGCAAGGATAGACTGGAATATGTGCTTCACCCAAAAGGCTTGAGCTGTGGAGTTCTACAGAGTTATTTCACAAATATACCCATGATTGAATCTGCAGGCACGGTCATGAAAACAAGAGTTCACCAACTGTATACACGACTCTGATGGATAGACTCCATCAGCTGGGTTACACCAAAGACTTGAGTCATTTAGTGCGGATCCATCCACCCAATTCCACTTCATACTGGCCACATCCAGATAGGCCCCAATTGAGCGTCTTCCGCCCACATCGATACCTGCAGCATAAAAAAGGGAAACGTTTGTCTTTTGAAGATTCGTAAGGGTTCGGGGGATTGTAACACGTCTTTGAACGTTTGCACAAAGTACAGCATTTCGTGGTGATGGTACCTACCGTGTGATTATAAGCTAAGAATTTTGTTTATTTTGGCATATGAACAGGAAATGGTCCAGTTCAAAGGTTTAATCCTCGTGGACTTTCTCATCCTCGATAATCTCCAGGGTATACGTTACGATCACTCTCCATTATACCCTGGATGCATCCACGGCTTGGCCCGATTATTTTATTACCTCCCTTTACTGGCTTTTTATCCAATCAGGTGCCTACGATGGGAAGTTGAGCGAACCAATCACAACTCACTTTCGCTTTTTAAATTATCTAACCGTTTAAACTTGGCAACACAATTGATGCACAGGTACTCTGAAAGAGGTAGAAGGAGTTCTTTCATATATTTTTTAAAGTTTCAGATCTGTCAATTCGTCTGTATTATTTCCCCCAAAATCTGAGTGGCACTGCGAACAAACCTTCGCGACTGCGACCGCTATCTTTGTTGACACTGGCAAGCTCGGATGTAACGGCGGCTTCGCTGATTGGCTACTGTGAGAATGCGGAGCCAGCAAAGGGAGGTAATATAATTATCGGGCCAAGCCGTGGATGCATCCAGGGTATAGTGGAGAGTGATCGTAACGTATGCCCTGGGGATTATCGAGGATGGGACTTTCTGGGTTAGTACTGGTCCTGAGCAACCTACATATATACTCATGTACTGATCGTCAGTGGCAACTTCATGGATCAGAGGGTCGGGCTGGGTGTCTTGACTGTTGGCGTATTATCGTAGCTAGACGGTGTGGTGATCGTAATATCAACCTTTGGTTTGTTCTTAGTTGGGACTGGTATATTCATCGTCATATAGTTGGACCAAATGGAGTGAGTGAGCTGAGTTTTACGCCGCTTTTAGCAATGTTCCAGCAATATCACGGCGGGGGACACCGGAAATGGGCTTCACGCATTTTACCCTTGTGGGGAATCGAACCCGGGCCTTCAGCCTGACGAGCGAACGCTTTAACCACTAGGCTACCTCACCTCCCCGGACTAATTAGAAAGCTATATGAATCAGTATACCTACACAAACCCGCGAGGGTCCTAGATACTCCCAAACCGATTGTGTACTCTGGCTCGTGTTTGTCGTGGGACACATTGACAGAGAGTTCAGGAGGATCGGCGAGTTTTAATGCGAAATGTGTTTATGTTGGTTATTTGACGTACATCGTTTGGGTACTTGTGAGTGTGTAACGCAACTTTGAGTGAGTGAGTTAAGATTTACAGTCACATCGGCAATATTTCAGCCATATCGTCACTAAAACCAGATTTAAATTCACCATAAATACATATCAGCCTGTCAACGAAGGACAGTGAAAAACAACTACAATATCAGAGTTATAAATATATTTAACTAGTATGTTTTAAATCCAAGATATGTTAGCTACAGAAGACAATACAATATACACTCGCATAACCTTGATTCGCGGATATAAGGGAAGTGCGGCGAAAATCATATATTAAATGCACGATTTCATTTTGTATACTAACTGATTATTTTATTCATTGATTCAGCAAATTGAAACTGCCTAATATTCCACTCGTGAATGAAACATTTGTTTACCGAAGCCTTATACAATCATCAGATTCATCACCCATTCGTGTGCCCACAAAATTTGACGTCACCTTGTTTCGTGGATTAAGTACTAGTAGTTGGTTACTTTATATCACTATGTACGACAGCCCATTGCAGTAGGTATTGGCACGTAGGAAAGCAGACGACGAGATGTGAGAAGGTTGGTGCTAACGGTATCTTATTTACTTGACATTTTGTACATATAAAATTTGGTATTGGTGGCATTAGTGATCTTGGGCTATTTATGTCAGTGCTGGACAATTAGATTTAGTGTATTTACATGTTATGCAGAGATTTGGAACATTTTTGTCAGCGAGGCCAGACATTGTACGTACATCAAAAGTACCGCTTCATGACGTGATAAGAGACTGAACGTACGAGATAGCATGATTATTACTGCGATCCACGGAGTAGGGCGTAATAATTGGGGCGCACCGGGGCCCCAGCATTGCACAGTGACGTCAACACGCCTCAGACTGTTGGGTCACTCTCCGTGCAAACCGGGACCGCCTCCGTGGTGTAGTGGTTAGAGCGTACGCCCGGACACCGGAAGGTCGTGGGTTCGATCCCCGGCCGCGTCATACCAAAAGACGTTAGAATATGGTACTTGTTGGTCCCCGCCTGGCGCTCGGCATTAATGGGTACAACAAGGACTGGTCGGCTCGGAAAGGACTGGTCGGCTCGGAGTCAGTATAATGTGTCTGAGAGGGGTATTCATGCTTCACTGCGGCATGGTACCTCAGTGGGCTAGCACTATAAAAGCAGCTTAAGTCTGGGCTAGTACAAGCAGCCGCACATACACATACACACGCATGCACGTCGTCATATGAGCGAAATATTCTCAAGCACGACGTAAAACCCAATTTCACCTCACCTCACCTCACCTCACCTCAGACTGTTGGGTCACTCTCGGTGCAAACCGGCACCGCCTCCGTGGTGTAGTGGTTAGAGCGTCCGCCCGGACACCGGAAGGTCGTGGGTTCGATCCCCGGCCGCGTAATACCAAAATACGTTAAAATATGGTACTTGTTGGTCCCTGTCTGGCGCTCGGCATTAATGGGTACAACAAGGACTGGTCGGCTCGGAGTCAGTATAATGTGTCTGAGTGGGGTATTCATGCTTCACTGCGGCATGGTACCTCAGTGGGCTAGCACTATAAAACCAGCTTCAGTCTGGGCTAGTACAAGCAGCTACACATATAGTATGACCAGAAATTATTGAGAATTTTAGGAATATGTTTAATTGGATTTCTAGTATAAACAACCTTGACCAGCTATCAAGTGCTTGGTTTCATTCAAGAGAGACAACTCCGTTAATCTTTTTTTCATGAATTTGTGAAGAGTTATCCCCCTTTGTTAACTTGCTAGCAGACGACATTTTCAGTGATCCTCAGTATGATTGATTAAGAGAAGAGGAAGTTGATTTTAGAGTATTATAACAAGGACATCAGATCAGCTAAAGTGATTTCAAGTAGAACAGGCATCCCTTTGTCCACTGTTTATCGTGTTTTGAAAATTGACTGTCGGTAACAGGCGGCTTGGTATTCTTGTTTCTAAAAACAAACGAAGGAGTTTTGAAAACTTAAGGCTGGATATGATTGATAGAGGAACTGTGGATGTCTGTAAGGAGACAATTAGAACTGAGCTGCATGCAATGGGTTGGCAAAAAAGTGGAGGAATTCCATCATCGATCATGAAACCTGAAGAAAAGGAGCGAAGGTTGAATTGGTGCTTACAGCATAGAAATTTTAACTGGGACAATGTGATTTTCTCAGATGAAAGTTCTGTGTGGCTGTTTCCTAATACACTGAAATTCTGGACCAAACAAACTGAAAAACCTTTGTATCAGCGCCCAAAGTACAGTCCGAAATTTAACGTGTGGGGTGGGATATCTGTGTTAGGGGCACCGCCCCTCTGTGTATTTGAAGGGAATATGAACAGTGAGCGGTACACAGATATTCTCGAGGGACATTTATTTCCATCTGCTCACGTGTTCTATGGACATTTTTGGATTTTCCAGCAGGGCAACGACCCAAAACATCGTTCAAAGCATTCACAGGCCTGGTTTCGGACCCAAAACATGACATTATTAGATTGGCTGAGCTACAGCCCTGACCTAAATCCAATAGAAAATGTTTGGGGACTTATGAAGGAAAGTGTCAATAAGAAAAATCTGACAAATATTGCAGAAATGAAAGAAGAGGTGGTCCGATATTGGGACAGCATGGACCACGACTTTCTAACTTCTTTGATCAGTAGTATGCCCCGCCGCATTGAAGCCTGCATTGCAGCCCATGGTGACTTGACAAAATACTAACTGTTCACCTGTCTTTGAATCTGGAGTTATGTTCTGCTAATGTTCATATTTAATACGTGAGTAATGAGTGAAAAAAAATTAAAAATCTACAATTTTTAAATTCTCAATAATTTCTGTTTGTACTGTATATGATATTATGTTCATACTAATGTAAGGAACCCGTGAAGGTCCGGGCAAGAATGAACCTTCAGTAACCCATGCTTGTCGTAAGAGGCGACTAACGGGATCGGGTGGTCAGTCTCGCTGGCTTGGTTGACACATGTCATCGGTTCCCAATTGCGCAGATCGATGCTTATGCTGTTGATCAGTGGATTGTCTGGTCCAGACTCGATTATTTACAGACCGCCGCCATATAGCTGGACTATTGCTGAGTGCGGCGTAAAACTAAACTCACTCACTGCTATTCTTTGCTGTTCTGTTTTAGCTCACTAATGTAAGGATGAACCTGAATCCTTAAGGCACTGTTTCTATCCTAAATTCCCACAGAAGGAACATTGTTGACAGCGGTGAAAAAAACTCATTAACAATGGCAGATTATAAAGTATACTGCACAACGTACCATTTGCAGCCATGAAGTCTTTGACGAGCTGTATTTTGCCATGCGATGGCAGGGTCACCAAGTCTCCACCGTCCATCTGACATTTCGATCTTGCCGCTGTATTATTCAGAGCGGAACTGGACACCCATATGCATATGTCTCCTATCTGGCTGTATGGAGAGACGCATTCGGCTGTGGGGAAAAAGAAAGACGACTGCATGAAAACGTAACACCACCGTTATTGTATTTGTAACGCCCCAGTTATTGTATATATTTGTAACGCGCAAACTTGTTAACAATTCTGTTTCGACAGTTATTGTAATTATGTGCAAAAGTCTTGCAAACGCCAACAGGGCCAGTTACAACCAAATTTAACCCTGGAAGACATGATTAAATTTGGCAAGGAGGAATTGAAAGTTATTGGTCTCTAGAATTCAAAATATGGTCAACAAAAATATCCATTGACCTTTTCCCTATGATTGTATACCAATGTTCGGTAGTCTTGAAGATGGGTTTTCCAGATTAGCATGGTTTTGTAGACATTAACCATATATTTGAATACCATTTTCATTTCTGTCAAAACATCACAAAACAGAATGAAAAAAAAATACAGCAAATCATGTCTTTAAAACAGTCTTCACCTGTGTTAGAGCAACATTCACGAACTCAAGTTTCTTTTACATTATCTTACCTTTCTTCAAGAACGTCTTCATTCCAGGGGAACCCAGATATGTGATATCTGTGTGGACATCGTATGTGTTACGAATATAACACGCCCCGGAGTAGAAGGAGAAACTATGGCAGGTTTTATTCTGAAAACAAAGTCCTGCACAGTCAACAAATGTGTCGTAGGCCAATTCCCGATTCCAGTTGTTCCCAACTTTATCATCTAATTCTTCCATTCGTGTAAAATGACGAGCCACGGTATGACTGTAGGTGTAATGAAGACAAAAGGAAAGGATAATGGTGAGCCCAATCATCTCAGAACGCCAGAACGGTTCCTTTGCTGTCAGTTCAGCCTCTGGTATGGTTCTCCCTTCCCGCCAGAACAGCTTCACTGTGTGGTGTGGATGGATCTTTGACTTCACGTGGAATAATTACATATCGATTGCTTAACATTTATTATCATGGGCGAACTTCACGTTTCGTTGCCTGAAAGTCTGTTAAGAACATCACGAAATATGTATTACACTTCTGTTATTTACAAATAGGCCGATATATATGGTCAGCAGAGTGGAAACTGTTTACTGTTTAGATAGGTAAATTAAGCTTCTGCGCTCCGTCCCACAAAGCGATCTTAGCTCCAAGGTGACCGTACCTCCCATATTTTAACAGAGACTTACGATCATCGTAGTACTAAAATCGTTTTGTGGAACGGATCCCTGGTTTTTCGGTTTGACGACAGGGCCCTTTTTCTTGACAAGCTTATTTGCACGATTGCTAGCACGAACCAGAATCATACAATCTTCATATCCAAAAGGGAAGCACCATTGTCCCCAGTACTTAAATGGCCCTTTCACAACGGTGTAAACTGAGCTGGTCTAGCCAAAGTTGTTTTAATTTGTAATGGGACAAATGTGTCAGGCCCACCAACACACTTTCGTAGCACCCCCAGCTGATATTGCTTGAATATTGCTGGGGGCGGCGTAAAACTAAACTCACTCATCTCACTCATATTTCTGTGCTTCTGTCCTTTGCATGTATGGTTTGACAACATGTTCTTCAGAAGTTTTAGATCCACACCTCAATACCAGCTCTACGTCGGCAGTCTGTAAATAATCGAATCTGCTCCAGATACCCAGTGAGTGACATCATGAGCGTCGGTCTACGTAGTTGGGATACGATGCCATGCATCAGCAAGCCTGACCACACGATCCAATGAGTCACCTCTTACGACTAGCATGGGTTTGTCAACGGGGACAAGACTAAACCGAATCTTTATTTTCGATATCATTAATTTCAAATGTTTTCAGCTCTATAAATCATTCTTTGAACAAACTAAGACAACACATCAAACATTTATATATAACACCCAATTTGGACAACTAATGAAAGTGTTTGCACTTAAACACACGCAACCTCATCCGACTTTTTAGGGATGTGGATTCACAATTACCGTAACAAGCCTTCCTGGCGTCACTAATAACATTGATTCGTCTATCTATTTGAATGGTAAATTTTGTCTGGTAGTTATGACGGAATTTAAACGACATGATTACTATCTTTTTCGTTATCTAAATCAATAGTAATGGACTAATATACGGATAGTAACGCTCCACAAAGCCGTTGCTGTTGGCGCACTGACGTATTGACTTTCCGCTAGCAATTCAACTCATGAATTTGAAATATGAGCTCACACCCTGTAACTGGATCAGTACTTCGAACAGTTAAACAGGTTTGTTAGTAATTGATTCTTGTAAGTAATTGATTCTTGCAAATCATCCTCTTCACGAATAATACAATTTCATTCGTAATACCCTGTACAGGATCATAATATAATCACATCTTCACGGAACCAGGGTAAAGATGTACGGGGATTACCCCCGAAACAACCTCAGACCAAACACTCACCAAACAGGACGCACCATAATAACTTCAGATCGTATTAATTCGTAGTATGGTGAAAACAAAATGTAACACTTCAAATATACCGTGATTTAAAAAAATAGTGTGCAGCATTATGGGACACGTACGCCAAAACGCATTCTACTTCGCGGAAAACATTTCTCTCGAGATAATACTCAGATTAGGAAGATCCATGTGCATTTGCCATAATGAATCTTTTGTCATGCGCTTAAGTTGGCAGATGATAGTGTCTTCCTTTTCTGAGTATCTGTTGCATGGCATTTCAGTTGATAGTGTTTGATACTTTGCATTTGAATCATTTAATCACTTTGAAATCTGTCATAATTGGATTACATTGTTTTTGTAACTTGAATAATGTAAGAGATTGTTGGAAACTGTGTATCAAGCTTGTAGTTAATTGGTTGCCATTGATTTGAATAGTTATTTCTTTTTCAACTTTCAATTGAGTTGTTTTGTGTTGAAACAGATCTTGAGCCAGAAGTTGTTCCCCTCGTGTTGATGTTGTACATCGACATTTTATGTTTCGTTAAAAATAAAATGGCGTTGGAAAGATGTTCAAATGGTTTGCCAATCAAAACACATTGCCATAAATCTGTTTACACAAAAGGACAGATTTGTTAACTATTATGAGTCTTGAAGAAAATGACTGCCGTTTGCTCCTTGCTCGTACTGACATGAGGGATATCATTGATGGAGATATTATCTGTTCTCACCATTACAAATACTTCGTGGAGAACTATTCTATTTATCAATGGTCCGATGCAGATCCATTTGACAAGCATTTGCGCAGTGTTCGAAAAAAGGCCTTAAGATGGTTTTGCTCGATAAAGCCGAAGCCATTTTTCTGTTGCTTGTGAGAATGTTAAACCTGACCAGAAGTTGTTCCCCTCGTGTTATGTTGTACATCGAAATGGGTCGAAAACAATCGGAACTTGAAATGACAGTGGATCTACATTTGAAGCAAGAAGGAGCATAGCTCAATGAGCAAGTTGAACCTTTCGATCTAAGATTATCATTTCACGCACAGCAAAGCTTATCTTAAACAGAAAGTTGCCCAAGTTGAATCAGCAGATGTCACAAAAGTTTAAGAAACATTTGATATAGGCCCTGCCAAATTGTGTCCTGAGTGACTGAAATGTAAGGATTTCAATGAACTAATAGAACAAATGAAAACAAAGTTGGAGGTCATTTAGTCTTCTTTAAATCTCGTCCTAAAGGTGTTCTATTGGACGTAAATCCGGACTGAGTGCAAGCCATTGTAGGGTTTGGTTACCATGTTGTCTTAAGAAGTCCAATGTTGCTCTGGCAGTTTCGGCACGAGCAATGTCTTGCTGGAAGATGTGATTCCTGTGACGTCTAAAATGTGGTACAAGGCTAGTTCTTATAACTTGGTCAATATAGCGAGCAGCTGTCACGCCATTTCTTCGTCCTGGACCGAGATTCAGGAACACCACAGGGCTAGCGCTCTTGTTGAGACCGATTGCACCCCACACCACGATGCTTGGACCACCCCATTAGTCTCTTTCAACAATACACTAATTAAGTGGAACAACGTTCCCCACGCCTTCGTCATACTCTCACTCTGCCATCGGCTGTCGATACACAATATCGGCTTTCATCAGAAAACAGCACAGTTCTCCATTGTCGATAACGCCAATTTCGATGCTGAGTTGCCCATTGCAGTCGGTTTCGGCGGTAACGAGCGGCGAGGACAGGATCAAGATATGGTCTGTTACAGCAGAGGATTCTTCCACGGAAACGTCGACAGTCACAAGTATGCATGCCGTACCTCTGATGACTGTCCTCGGATTGATGCACCGAAATATGTCTTTCAGTCACATCTCCAGGATGAAGGTCTGGATGGGGACGATGGAATCTCCTACAAAGTCTGGGTGCATACAGAGAGATCACAACATCCCTTAGTCCTATTGAAGTTCTTTTGCAGAAAATTGTTAATTTGACAGTTCAGCATTTAACTGCAAAATCCGAGTCGACTTTTTTTTGACAAGGTGTAAAGAGGAATTGGATGAGAAGACGGCAATAATTCTTCTCGATTTTGCTGATATTTATTCCTTTGTGGTAAAGGATTCTGTTCAGGGGTTTCATTGGGATAATTCCCGAACAACAGTACACCCCTTAGTGTTATACTACAGACAAGGACAAGATCCGAAGCATATGAGCATGGCAGTGATTGCAGTCGGTTTCGGCGGTGACGAGCGGCGAGGACAGGATCAAGATATGGTCTGTTACAGCAGAGGATTCTTCCACGGAAACGTCGACAGTCACAAGTATGCATGCCGTACCTCTGATGACTGTCCTCGGATTGATGCACCGAAATATGTCTTTCAGTCACATCTCCAGGATGAAGGTCTGGATGGGGACGATGGAATCTCCTACAAAGTCTGGGTGCATACAGGGAGATCACAACATCCCTTAGTCCTCATTGCTTTATTGAAGTTCTTTTGCAGAAAATTGTTAATTTGACAGTTCAGTATTTAACTGCAAAATCCGAGTCGACATTTTTGACAAGGTGTAAAGAGGAATTGGATGAGAAGACGGCAATAATTCTTGATTTTGCTGATATTTATTCCTTTGTGGTAAAGGATTCTGTTCAGGGGTTTCATCGGGATAATTCCCGAACAACAGTACACCCCTTAGTGTTATACTACAGGCAAGGACAAGATCAGAAGCATATGAGCATGACAGTGATAAATGACTGTCTGAAGCAATCTTTCTCAAGCACGCCCTGCAACACATTCAGTCTTGTCTTCCAGGGATAAGATGGGCTGAAAGCTGTGTGGCATTGTCTTTGCAACAAGTCATGTAACAAATGCTTGTGACGGGATAGGATGTACCATAAAAAGACTTGCATCAAAAGCTAATCTTGAAGCACGTCTCCAGAACCAAATCACAAGCTCCACAGCAACTTTTCGATTGGGCAATAACTGCTATTCGAGTTACAAAAATGTTGCTTGTGAAAAAAGGAGATATCGAAGCAGAAAACTAAAAGCCAAGAATTGTGATTTTCTGCATCCTCAACTGTTCCCGGAACAGGAAGAAGTCATCATGCTTTCAATCAATAAGTGCCACAAAACTGGCCATAAGTCGTGTGTCACAGAGCACTGAATCAACAATAGCAACGTTGAAAAAGAGACAATATGTAGAACATATAAAAGTCAGGATCTTACAGCCAGGATCTTACGTTGGCCATTGTATGGTGCTCATCGATGTTCTGGTTTCTATCAGAAACGAACCACAGAAGTTCAAGAAATCACGTCGAAAGGCAGAGGTTATACTACCTTTTGATCATGTCATAATGACAGTTGATGTTGGCATCACACAGATATTTCAATCTCTCCCATGACAACTACAAGTCAATTTGTCAATTTCTTTCAAGCATTTCAGCAACAACTGACTTGATTCATTATTTCTTAGAAACATATATGTTACCTTCCAACAGAAATGAGA